TTCAGTCAGTAAACCACAAGAAACATGCACTTACTTCTGCAAGTAAAATAATAGCTCACAGTGAAACAATTGCATTTTTTCTTTCTGTTCTTCATTCTCCAATAAATCCACCTGTAGCACAAACCCATTACCTATAGAAAAAAATAATCCTAAGGCCCCAAACTTAAGCTACCACRGTACGTTTTAAGAGCATCATTCTGTGGCAAAGTTCACAGCTGTGAAGTAGCAGAATACAAGGMTCCTTGCTATGAAACAAAAGACACCTGCCACAAACCTATTTAAGAGAAAGGGAATAGACCASCAAATGAGTAAATGAAAAGGAGCCCTTTCAGGGAGGCCAGGGGAGATCAGCACAGTCCCACCTGGCAGGTGAATGCTGCCCCAGCTGCAGCACAATTTCATGGATGAGGGAAAGGCTTGGCACGTGGCCAGGGGCAGGAGCCTGCTGGCTGCCTCAGCTTTGGGGAACACACCTGGGACTGACTGCTGCAACTTGGAATTGCYACTTCACACCACAGATTCTCACCTGCCTTTTTATTGTCTATTYGGTAAAGCAATGATGAGGATAAAGAAGCAAATGCGTATTTACACATACCAGGCTCCAAGTTAGTTGCAACACTGAGAAATGAGATCTTTTGGTCATTAAAGATAGATATATAAAATTTCAGCTCAGTGCTCATCAAGCATCAGTCAAAACAAACTAACTATGAAAAACTATTACATGAACAGGAAACAAAATTACTCTGCCACTACATCAATCCTAAATGCTGTCTGCAGTTCTGTATTCTTTTTGAGATGAGATGACAGTAAGRAAGAAAAAAGTGCATTGGAGGGTGTGAAAACACAGGAATAGCTTCCATGCAAACAACTATTATGTATATTAGAGGTCTTCAGGCTGAGTATCTGTGTGGTATGTACCAGATACATATCACACACATACACAAATATAAGAGATAAACACCACAGAAGTTTCCAATATTCCTTAATGAAATGCAGCAGGTGAACAGAGGAATGATCACTCACTGCCCTGTTCTAGCAACAGAGGCATGAAACATGATCAGGTGACAGATTGAACAAGCAACSAGCATGAGCTTCCCCACTTACCTGTTACATGCACAGACTCACAAAATAGGCAAGTGTATGCACTATTCCTTTTATTTGTATATTTTCAGTTTCAAAAAGTGACTAATCACAGAGTCCACAGGTACTTTTGAATTGGTCTTGCAAGAACCAATTGGATCTAGATTATCCCTTACATGCAGCGAGTTTACTGCTTCTTACACAGATATGAGCACAACCTGATTTCCTTTTATGCATCTGAGCATATGTCACATTACTCTCTTTCAAGTGATGTAATGCAAGATCAGAACAATAACATATATCCAGCAAAAGGGTCAAGACATCATCCCCATTTTCTTATCAAGGGTCAAGATTATTAGTACTGGGCTGCTGTACAGACCACTCTTTCTCAAAGTATAGTGTCATTTCCAACCTCATTTCATCACAGTTTGAAATTGGGTGCCATTTATTCTACTACTTAAAACTTCACTATTTAGAACTGTTCTATTTCCTTTTGTTTTGAGGGTATTCTGAAGTTACTTTTTGTCAAGACTAAAGYTGTGAAAAATAATGTTTTGAACTAGGTTATTTTGAGCTGATTGTGAAGACAGAAAGATCATGAATCTCATTTCTGAAACTTATAACTATTCACATKTTTATATGCACTCATCTGGAAGAAAAGAAAGTAAAAATTAAGTCTCTTATCATGGACATTCATTTTAAATCTAACTGTTCTTTCAGTAGATGAGCCAGTGGAGCATTTCCAGGGAACCATGCAATTCAATAGCTCAACTAGATRGGAAAGTCACTCATGCTTTACCAAAGCTACTCAGAAAAACATTTCTGAGATTGAAGGAATAATAAAGGCGAATCTGAGAATAAATTCATTATCTTAACATGCAACTTCAAGAAAGTAAAATAATCCAAGATCAAGGTCTGCAAATAACACTGACCACTGAAAAGAAGATCTGATTTGAGGTTTCCCCAAATCTAAAGCCTAAGGAGAAACTTGTGGCAGATGACAGCTGTGTGTAASAAATTTCTCTACCCTGACACTCTAACATGATGTTCAAGGTAGGATAATGTGCAATTTAGCTTCCTCCCATCTCTGTTTCCCAGAATATTATGAAAGCAAGAGCAAAAAAAAACCAATTTGTGACCATTTAAGTTGTAGGATGAAGTCTCTAACTTATCTCACAATGATAAATGCAACCTTAAAGAAAAACAMGCCCTATATGAACCCTTATTCTAGTGTAAATTGAACACATCGTATTCCACACAGGAAATACTTGGCGAGTAAAGCAAGTGTCGGTGTCATCGTGCAAACAATGTTGTGCTCACTGCGCCGGCCCTCGGCACCACAGTCCCAGGCACTCAGGCCGCGCTCGGGGAGAGAGCGAGCAGCCAGTAACACACAGATCCATAGGGATCCTAAGGATCAGCGAGCCCATCTCCAGCTCCTCGCTGGGCAGCTCGCACCGGGAGCTCCGTCCCGCAGCCCCAGAGCCGCTGTCACAGCGCTGCCGGTGCCTCCCCTCGGGGCTGTCGGGGCAGAGGGGCGGCGGCACCGGGGCTGTCCGCGGGCCCGGCTGCGCTGCGAGGGGCCGAGGAGCCCCCTCCCACCGGCTGTACCCCCAGAACCCCGGGCCCGCCGCCGGCCCTGGCCCCGGCCGCGCACTCACCGCCTCGCAGCACGAACAGGTCCGTCTGCTTGTCCGAGTTGAAGTCGCCGAAGGCCGCCAGGGTCCCGCGTGCCTCGGGCCCGAAGAGCTGAGCGGTCACATTCTGCAGGGCGCGGGCGGGCCCCGCCAGGGCCAGAAGGGCCAAGGCCAAGGCCAGGGCCAGCAGCGGGCCCAGCGGCCGGCACGGCCCGCGGGCCCCCATCGCGCACGGCCTCGCCCCGCCCGGGCTCTGACGGCAGC